AGAGCTGGGGTCTAGGTAATTAACGGCAAGCTCTTTAATTACTGCTGGTGTTCATTGTGCCAGAAGGAATGTGACAATTATGCCATTAAAACTTCCTAATGGAGGGGAGAAAAGTGAGGGAGGCAACAACAGAAGACATGCAAAGAAAAAGGAGGATGAAAGGAGGAAGGGAACAGAAGGAAGAGAGGAGGGATATGAAAAGGGGGGGAAAGGGGAAACAATCACGACAAAAGAGAAGCTGGGAGGGAGATGGGGAGCGTATTAGGCCAGCACAGTGACAGAGCAGATTAGCATCAAACAAGAAAGGCCACGGACGTGTGTGTGTAAGTGTGTGTGTGTGTGTTTGCGATCAGAGAAACAGAGGACATATTCATTCCAAAGACGCCACCAAGGTGGATGGAACTTTGATGATGCAGAGTCTGGCAAAGGGAAAACTCTGCGTGTGTGTGTGTGTGTGTTTGCTTGCTGAATCTGCGTAGGCTCCTGTTTCAAGTGGTGGTGCAGGCAGGTAGGGGAGGAAGAAGAGCAGGAGGAGGAGGAGGAGAAAGGGGAGAGATCCACGGAAAACGGCCTCGGAGGCATCCTGATACACATGCAGTACATTTCCATCTCCACATTACCTCTATGACTCACACACACACATAAGACGGGAAACATAACGAGTGTGTCCGCGCTCATGTGTAGCGCACGTAAACACACTGTTCCCCACACAAACATAAAAAAAAGCACGCACACAACCCACGCACTCGCAAACACACACGCAAACAACACCCACACACACACGCACACACACCAAAAAGCCAAACACTTACACAAAGAGTCTTAGCGCTCACCAAGGCGGTCGGTTCATCAGGGGGGGTTAGAAATTTGCATGGCTGGGCAAATTTTCCTTGTGCTAAACTCTAATCAGCTCCTGTATCTTTCAGACACCTGCCCAGCGTGCAAAAAAAAAAAAAAAACTTAATATGCAAAACTCCTTCCCACCCTCCTCCACTGAGGCAGCTCCTCGGCCAACAGAAGACTTATTCACCTGGCCTCGCTAACTCTTTCCCACCCTGCCTGTCTTCTTGCAAATTTTTACATTTATGTATGCAAATCAGCTGTTCCCCTTAAGCCTGTTTCAACAGTAACTTCCTGGTGCCCGGCGAAGAATGAAAGACTTGTTTAAAGGTATCGTAGGAAAATTAGTAAGAGGGAACAAGATGTCTCCTCTGTTTGAGCGGATGTGTTGCAAACTTGATCCCTACAGGTGGACACATCCACATTTTCTAAAGTTTGTTCAGGTGAAATGCAATCATTAGTTCCAGTAGGATGAACATTTTCCAACATAATTTCACATTTTCATGTTCAAGCTCATGTGCAGGTTTGTATGGCTGCAATGTAAAAATGCAAAAAATATAACGTTGCCATAACAGTTTATGTCTTGATTCATATTGAAATGTTTTCAATTGTTTTAAAAGTCATCTTGAAAGACGTTAAACCCCAACTGGCCAAAATATAAACATACCAACAAGATGTTTGGATAATTAATAATCATTAATTCAGTTTGTAACATAGTGCAATTCACTTTCAGAAAGTCAACGAAGCCATCCATCGCCTTTACATTTATGTTGCCCACTATATTTATTAGTACTTATAATGAAGATGTATGTTTTATTATAGTAGCCTAATCTCACACTGAAAAGCTTTTGGTGGTGATCTCACAATTAACTTTGTGCTTCTTTTGCCTCCCTTGCTTTCATCCTCCCCAGACATGGTGGCAAAATAGCCTTTTGCCAGCGTCCAGCTTTGTTCCAGTTGTTTTAAACTTTTAAATGATTTTTCTGACTGTAGATGTGTCAGTTTCTTGACCTAAAAACCTCAAGATACACATCTGCCTTAAATGAAATGCCCTTTTCATTTTAAAAAGTGTCTGACAGAAAAGGGAGTGTCTCATAATATTTATAACCCAGTAAAAGTTGTGGGTGCCACAAATTAATGCAGATCATTTTTCGAAAAGCTATTTTAATATGTTTTGCCAGAGTAATAAATGTGGAGGCTGCTGTTTTCTGATGTTGGTTGTTGTTGGAAGAACAGACTAAAACCTTGTTTCCCTGCTGATGTGAAACTATTTTAGCAGCCAGGTTGAAACATTAACAATTAAACAAGTAAACTTAATGTTTGTGAGCCATTGGAGTCTCAAAAAGATTTGAGAATAATTTGAAAGTGAATCCTATAAACACTGGATATCAGTTATTTGAGCTAAAGCAGACCTTACTTAGAAAAAATAAATAAATAAAAAAAAATATGTTGAAAATGTGTCTTTTGTCCCAGCCAATCAAAGATAAATGTCAGGCTTACTTAGCTATTTTTATCAATCCCAACCACTTTTTAACCACGTCCTTTTCCTTTTTTTGTTTTTAATTTTTCAACCACAGTTTCACATCAATTAGAGGGAAAACATATTTCTCTATGTCTATTCATTAAATTTTTTATAGGAACAGACTGTGACAAAAAGGAGCCTTAAATGCCCAAATCAGTGATGTCACACTTGAAATAAGTCCTTAAGATGGGTTTTTATTTTGTTAAAAACTTCTAATATGTAGATATTTATCCTGTTTTCTAAGGCACATAGAATAGTATGAAATACTTTATATTTTAGCAGTTTCATTTTAGTCAAACTCAGAGGAGACAGACTCTAACTTACTGTCTGTTAAATTTATATCCATTTCTTACTGATTTCTGCACTTATTAGGGCCCTGCCTAAATAGAAGAAATCTTGCTTTGCCCTGATGTGCTTCCAGTTGATTGAGACCTCATATATACAAGTGCTTCTGTCTGCCAGAGTCTTTCAAAGCCTCCCTTAAGAGGTTTGAAGATGGATGTGGGGGAGAGTGTGTGTTTGTGTGAGTGTTTGGGTGCACACAGAGCAGCCCCAGTGGACAAATAATGATGGAGAGAGACAGAAGGAAACACAGGGAAAGAAAGCGAAGCCCTTTAAATGTGAGAGCTTGCAAAACTCCCACTGCTCGCAAGGGCACTTCGCTCCTGCACGTCATCTCTTTTCCCTCTTCTCTCCTTCCATTCCCCCCATCGGCTTCCCCCCTTTCCCCTTCTCCCTTCATCGGTCTCTCTTTTGTCTCCGAGCTCTCACCCTCCGTCCCCTATCTATCCATCTCCCTTGTCCCCCACTCCCCCTCTTTCTTTCCCCTTCCTCTAGCTAAAACAGTAGGACGCTTAACCTTGATAACAGTGAGATTTTTCCCCCCTCAAAGTGACACACACACTCTCTCACCCACACACACACCGGAGAAGTGCTTTGCCAGCATGCCAGGCCGGTCCAAGGGACGGCTGTACCCTTCGAGGTGAACAGGACACCGGGAAATGCAGCAACAACAAAACACTCACACACACACGCATACACACACACAGGCAGCTCGCTCCAGGTCTTTCTTAACACCAAGTCCTTTAAAGCTCTTTTGTGAGCTGACATTGAGAGGAACTCTGTCCATCTTTAAACATTTCGCACGCACAAAGAGATGTCGGCAAAAGGAGAAGTGAGAAAAAAAAATGGAACATATTAAAGGTGAAGCTACCTGCTAGGAATTTATGACAATCAACGGAAAGCAGTGGACGGTCACACTGATGCTCGTAGGCAAATGAGGACAGGGAAGTACCGTGTAGTTTTTCAAAATATTAAAACATCCCCACACAGAGAGGTAGTGTAAGCTAATAACCGTCGAGAGGAAACTGCTGAAGACGAAAAAGTGAAATAAGCAAGGTGTTTGTGCATTTCTTCCTCATCAGAAGAAACTTCCTCAAACAGGTTTAAACAAGACTGAAAACAAATGTGACATTTTATTGGTTAGAATATTTTTAGCCAAAGGCGCTCAAATATTCCTCTGCCTTTCCAGTACATGACGTCAACATACAAAGTATTGATTGCCCTGAAACTTTACCACATCTTGTCACATTACAGCCACAAATTTTGAGATATGTTATTGGGCTTTGATGTGACAGACTATGGAAGAAAAACTATTTTTAAAAAATCTGGGAAGTGTAGTTTATATTTTCTCTCACTGATATAATACAGATTTTTTGTGCATTATTCTTTCCAAAGTAGCTAAAGTTGAGTCTGTTTAGAAGGTGAATGTTTGTTAACAGCAAATTTCAAGGCACAGATTTTCATCCTGCTGGAAGGCAAACCTCTGTAGTCTCTTTTTAGGTTTTCTTTTAGCCCCTTCCATCTCCATATTATTTCTGACCAGCCTCACTGAGAAGCATCCCTGCAGGATGATGCTGTGACTACCATGATTCACAGTGGGGATTGTGTATGGGGAATGTGTGCAGTGTTTGTCCTACGTAGCAATATGCATTCAGGACAGTAATTTTAATCTCAGTCTCATTGTGCCCTCTACAAATGGGAGTCAGGCATACAGCTTTTTTCTTGCCACTTTTCCACAAAGATTGGATTTGTAGAATGTACAGGTAAGATTTGTTCTGTCAACAGATTCTTCCACCTGAGCTGTCTAAGTTCTAAGCTGACCCAAAGTTACCTCTTTGTCTTGATTGCTTCTCTGATTATTGCTCTCATTTCCCACCCTGCCAGTTTAAGTGATGGTCATATCATGGCAGCTCCTTGATCTTCATGATCATGTTTGTTCACAACTATTCTCTGGCAATCCTCACAGAGAAGCAGAATTTATACTGAGATTAAATCATGTGGGTTTTCTGTTATACGCTTCTGTTATAGTCCAATACGCTTTATGTTGCTGTCAAATAAAACGCCTCTAAAATAAGCAACTGTGTGTGTAATATGACAAAAGCTTAGGGGTTTGAATAATTCTGTATCAGACTTGAACTCTGCATAAAAAGCAGATCCAGAGTCATCGAGGATACAGTGAGAATGTATCAGAATACATATTGGAATAAGCATCCGATGAAATTTCAGTTTTCTCTCTCAGCTCCTCCTTTCACCGAGCCTTTCGCTGCAGTCTACGTCAAGACACTGAAACATTTACCTCAAAGTCGTTGGCTTTGTTGTAGTGCATGTTGAGGGCTCGGAAGAGCTCGCAGTCCCGGCTGACGCTCAGCTCCTCGGCTCCAGTGACACCGTCGTTGATGGCCTGCCGGGCAAATTTCTCCATCTGGATGTAGTAGAACTCCCTGAAGTTGCTGAACCACTTGATCAGCTGGGAGGTGATGCAGCGGTTAAACTGGAAGAAAAGACAGAGGAGGAATGGAGAGGTCAGCAGAAGACAAGGCCAATGTGTCAGTGTACTTCTTATATACAGCTTTTTGACATGAATCTGAATGAATCCTTTTTTATGCCAGGTAGCTGAGCCGTGAGGTAAGGTGGGAGGAAGCTGGGAGAGATAAAAGAGGAGCGGAAGAGAAAACAGGTTGCAGAGTGAGGGACGATGATAGAGATATTAAGTAAGACAGCAAAGCGAGGAGGTTGGCGAGGGAAGAAAAGAATAAACGCCAGAGAGAGAGTATGTGTGTGGTTCGTCTTCCCCGCTGGGAGCAGACCTCCCCCCTATCATAACCCTGCGAGTGGAGGGAGAGGTGGTGGAGAGGGGGTGAGACCGCAAACACATAATTGACCAGAAAAACGATTAAGTCATCATCTGAAGCGCCCTGGCCCACAGGGGGGCTCAAACATGTACTTAACCCCGCTCACCAATTACACCCTGTTCCTCCTCCCCTCACCGCACCTCCCGTGCAGGGAGAAACGGAAACGAAGGAAAAAAAAAAGAGCAAAAATAAGAAGACAGAGGCGACAAGCGCTGCCGAGGAGGCAATGGCTATTTGATCTAGTGCTGCTCGGGTGAATTCAATAGGGTGAGGTAAACCTATTAGGAGCCTCAGCTGGTCCTGGCTCCTTTTCATCATGACCTCAAAGGGAAAACAACTCTGTCTAAAAATCTAGACAGCCAGTAATAATATTATGTGCTTTGGGTTCTTGTTTCACTTTCCAAACATGCTAAAATTAAGTGAAATTTCTACCTTGCAGACATCATTTATACATCATTCATACTCCCCTCTGCTCTTTCTGCAGCAGAAAGAAAGGGAGACTAAATGCTGCTAAATGCTGAGCACACTGCTCGCTGGGGGGGCAGAGTGGTTTTGACATGGAGATTAGACTCTGACTGTTGTTCGACAACACTGACATAAACACTCGTCATGATCTGGGACGGCAGTACAGCACAGTCAAACTCATGAAGACTGTAGGGAACGTTGATAAATAGGAGGTACGTTTCTTCGATGGTGGTCTTTTCTGAAATGATCTGAAGTGATTGCAAATGAGATAATGGTGGACCGGAGAAGAACAAGTCTGTTTGTTTGGCTGGAGTTTGGGTGGGTGTGCATGGGGAGGAAGTGTTGGGAAGGTGGCTGTCCTAAAGTGCAGGGTGAGCATAAATAGGAGAAAGAGAGGGCGGGGTTGGGATGGGTGCAGGTCAGCACCACCGGACAATAGCGCGTCGCTCGTGGTGGTAACGGCGGCAGAGTTTGTAAAGGATGAGGGGAGGATAAGGGGGTTGGAACGTGAGCAGTCAGCAAGCCAGGGTCATGACATCTGAGCATCAAACAAACAAAGTACTGACACTTACAAATACCTTGGCAGTGCAGAGTTATTCTTAAATACATGGCTCTCACTGTGGCAGACAGTCAGAGTGTGACAGCAGAGCCGAGACGCTGAAACATCTTTTGTGTTGTGTGCAACATTGACCGTCGCTGCATTTGAAACTCTTTATCCATGAACGTGTGCTTACATACACACCTGAGCAATGCACAGTGAGATTATGGACTGTGAAAGTTCCTATCACTCATGTTGGGAGACCTTTAGTGTCACTGCAGCAGAGTGACTCAATGCATTTGTCACTTTGGAAAAAATTACTTTATTATGCTGACAGCTTGAGAGAAGATGTATTGCGGCCGGTGCTGGTTGGAACCGCTGGTAAATGCTGGTGAATATGCTAAACTGCACTGCAGCCATGCTAACTGCCCATCTTACACTCAGGGATTAAATTTTGGCAGGTTCCCCTTACAGCTTCCAGCGGTCTTGGTTCATTAAGTTGCTGTAGGGGGCACCGAAACCCCCCCTGATACCAGCTAAGGACGGGTGTGTTCGCTGTAAAAGGAGGGAATCGGTTCAAAGGAGCACATCACTGCAGCTCCTTAATCAGAGCTGGCAGGGGTCAGGCAGCACAGACATGAGGCACAGTGAGGAAAGTGTGTGCGCTGAATCTGATACAATGTGTTTAAACATACAAGTGTGTGTGCGGGTGTGCGCACTTGGCTATGAGGTAGAGCAGAGAGAGACAGTGAAAGCGTGTTTCTCACACTCACACTCAAGAGCCTGTGAAAGGTCAGTGCTTAGTGCTAACAGCATAAGATAGAAAGTGGCATGCACACACACTCACATGCATATGTTCTGCAGATGCTGAAGTCTAAAATAGACAAAAAAAAAAAAAACTGAGATATCTCATGTCTAAACTGTAGTCGCCTGCAGAAAGTGCTCAGGTGTACATACATCTCATTATCGGGTTTGGTAAAATTGGTCAGGTGTTTTCCTTTTTGCTGTGGTTTTTGGCTGAAAGGTGTTTGAACAGAAAGCAAACACTTTCTCAACAGTGGAGCAGAAAACAGACAGATGACCTCAGAGTGCTCGGCTATATCCAAAACGACCAGAGAGGAGGATAGAAAGACACAGAAGCCTGCCCGGGCCTCCCTCTCTGTCTCTCCCTCTGTCATATAAATCCCCTCACAGCCATCAAGGCTTTCCAACGTTTCCTGTTTTTGCAGGAGTGAATTGTGGGAGATAATCTGGGGCTGTCTATTGGCTGACTGCACACAAAACATAGCCCTGGAAAGCGGGCTTTTGTCACTGCTACTGCTGCTGTGACTCAAAATCCAGCCACTGGCTTTTCTTTCCAGGCCTCGGCCCCGCCGAGGTGCACATACCATGCCACAACATCAGCGAAAAAAGAGAAAAGGGAAGGAGTGACACAGAAAATACAAAACCCCTCCTGACATTCGCTGCAACATGGCACATAACTGACGTAAACACAGAAGCTGAGTAGAAATGCTACTAACGTAACGGCCAATGATTCCATGAGCAGCAGATCGAACACTGACAAATAAAATTTTGATTTTTGTTTTCTTTCTTTATCAAGTAGCTATGCACCAATAAATTGATTGATATCCCATTGATAAAATCTAATTGGTGATCAGCAGATTGAACTCTGAAAAGGGATATTTTTTTTTTACCCCAATTCCCACCATGTTTAAATGTGTCAACCAACACTTTGTACTTTTGTCTCTTTTTTAGTTTAATAAAAAACAGTTATGCATCAAAGGAGACATTTTTATAAATCCTTTATTTTCTATTAAATTTCCAAACTTTATCAGAGAACCTGAAACAAATTTTTACTCTGCCACATCAAAAAGTCCTGACAAAACAAACAAACATTGTTTGGCATAAAAAAAAACCTACCATCCAACAACAACAAAAAAAAAAAAAAAAAAAAAACATGTTTTTAAAAACATGCTAACAAAGCATTGTTAGATGATTTATTAAACTGACTAAATTATTTTGAACTGATCTACTGGCTCTTGCTCTAAAACCCTGTCTATCTAAATAAAGATATGTTATAAATCCACTTGGATTATATAAGCTATCATTCATGACACCAACAAGGGTATCAAGTAAAATCTGTCAAAACATTTCAGAAACACTTAGAGGGGAAAAAACAGTGTCTTAAAATGAGCTTCTTCGAGATGAACATCAGCTCCAGGGCCTCCCAGGTCCAGATTTAATTAGACAAGACCTGATTAACCTTAAAAGACTGTTGTTTGAAGACAAGCTCTTGCTGAGACACTGTGCTGGCTGAATTTAATTTGATAGTCCCATTCCCATACACTAATTTAAAACCAGTCTATTGTCACTTACAGAGAACAAAAACAAACTATGTGGCACTTAATCCCTTAAATATCTTGACCTTCTTTAGAGTTCTATTCATGACGAGGCCACCTTCATGGGAAACCCTAATGAGTTAGGCAAAGCTGAAATTTAATCTCACTTCTTATTCCAAAAATGTCAAATATTAGTTAGATGGTATTATGGTATTGATTATTAAAAGAGGGGGCATGAGCACTGAACGTTGCTTTTGATAAAAGCAACTATTTTGTTGCCTCTTATTTTCAAAGTTGTCCAATAAAATCCTGTAAAGACTGATATGAGTTCAGAGTCATGGTTCTTCGTGATGGCATACATGAGGGGGCAGCTGGTAGGAAAGGAAGCCTTTATCTTCTGATTTGAATAAGATGGCCTGGATCTGTCACAGTATTTATCCCAATCATGGTCCAGGAGCACACACATACACACACGCACGCAAACACACACAAACAATCAACACCACAAACTCACCACACATGATACAAGAGCTATTGTGTTGTTTTTCTTGTTTTCCTGTGCAGCTTACATATTGTGCTTTGTTTTCCAAATTTTCCGTCATTAAACTCCCAGCGGGGCCAATATGCATCCTTGCCATGTCTCTAAACCAGCTCTTTGCTCTACGCCCCTCCCTTTTTATCAAACCATCCTCCATACACCTGCTCTGAGAGCCACCATCTCCCGCTCCATTCTCCTCTCTGCCCCCTCTGTCCCTCCATTACTCATCCTTCGCGTCACCTCTGGAGAACTCAGTAGCTCTCCTTTTCCGTTTTGCAGACCTATTCAACTTCCTCTTTTATCATCTTTTGCATGAACACCTAAGGTAGCGAGTGAAAATCCACCCTTTCCAAGCAAGACAGGTATACATTGTTTGTTGTAACTGAGACTGGAACATCGCAATTTCCAACCAACTTCCCTTTTTTGACTCAGGTGCAAAAAAATAATATAAGGAAGAAGTTGAACAAAGACGAAGCAACAGTTACAGTATATGTGAATGTGTGCTTCCATTTATGCAGTGCGTTGCAAAAGTTTTCATATCCCTTAACATTTTTCATCCTTTTTTCACATCACTGTCACACACCTCTATATTTTTATTTAGATTTTATGTGACAAACCAACAAAAAAGCACTTAACTATAAATTGTTATATTCCTCTTTACATTGATACCATCTAAAAAAAATCCAGTGAAACTAAGTGGATTCAAAAATAACTGTTCAGTGTAGCATGACCAGAATCCCAAACCTAAATTAGAGGTGAACCAAGACGGGAGAACTGTATGTTGTGAATGCTGAGAAGACAGGCAAAAAGCAATGTTGGGGAAACAGCAAACATGAGGAAGAAGTTACTCTGGTCAGATGAGAGTAAAAATTTGATTTGTGTGGTCAACTAACACAACACCCTAAAAACCTCATCAACACGGCGAAACATGGTTGTGGCGGTATCATGATGTTGGAATGTTTTTATTTAGTAGGGAAGATGTCAGCTAGGCAAATAGATAGCCAATGTAATCCAGGAATAAAACCTGTGAGATTCTAACCATAAAACTTGAACTACCATGGAAAGGTTTAGATCAAATAATAATTATGTTAGAATGGCCCAGTCAAAGTTCAGACCTCAATCTAAACAAGAACTGGTTCAGATTCAATCTGACTGACATTGAGATATTTTGCAAAGATGAATGGGCATCTTGTGTATGTCTATTACTGCATTAAGGTTATAAGGTATCGAAAGGCAGTGTTTATGAACTACACCAAAGCAAAATAAAACAAATAGGTACAAGACCACAGAAGCAGTTGGAACAGAAAGAAAAGGTTAAAAGCTATCTGAGACTCACCTTGACGTCAGAGAAAAACATCTTCAGCATGTTAGAGCTCGGGTAGCGGGTGTAGAAAAACATGAGTTTGGCCTTCTTCAGATGATTAGGGGAGAGGCCCTCCTGGATCTGAAAACAGCTGCTGTTAAGAATATTAACAACTGTTTGGAGGCCAAGAACCTTTGGTATATCAAGCAAACATAGGTATATTACAAATACTGTTGTATTTGCTAATGACTCAGTGTAAGTTTGAAATGTACATTTGGATGAAGGGTAACCAAATTTTCTCATGAGTGTGAATGTAGAGCTGCTGGAAGGGGTGAGCTGAAGACGGTGCACTGAAGCAAAACCATTTGCTTGACATTAGCATCGTCTGTATCAGGTGTGAGAGCTTCACGGTAAATAAAGCAGTACAGCCTGTGCTTTTACATAAGGAGCCTCATTTCACTGTCAAAGCAACTAAGCGCCTTTGCCTACACCCTGCGTAAAACTCCTCCCAAAAAAAGGAGGAAGAAAAAAGGAGACATTTGCATATCACAGACAAAGACAGCAGTTAACGCCAGTGGCGGGCAAGAAGGCCTAATGGCTTGGCGATAACACATGCCAAGCCTGAACATGACTGTCTGCTGCTGGCCACATCAGCTACGAAATAAGGTCTAAGAGATCCCAAACACTGTTCCAGGCAGTATGAAAAACATTCTCGCATTCACATATTCAAATAGAGGCCTTGCCTTCCTAATGGATCCCCTGGATTGAACAGCGGAAAGGATGGAGATAGGCTGTTGGGGGCACCTTGAGGGATAGCATGGTTCCAGCCTTCAATTACATTCCCCCTCCTCCTCCCTCTGCTCCACCCCTGGCCCCCAAGCCTCTCAGTTGCTGCCAAACCCTTGGAGGAGCAAAAGAAAAGAAGGAGGAGAAGAAGAGAGGCACTGAGGCTTTGGACTCGGCCAGCGATGGGAAGAGTGGAACACATCTGCGCCACTAAATGGCCCAAGCCATTTCCATGGTGAATTAACGGCCGTATAATACATCTGATAATTTCAGTCTGGAGGATAAGACTATGAAAAGGGAATGGGGGTGGGGCTGGGGGTGCATGTTCAAACCTCAAACTGGTTTAAGAAGTCAAATCAAGTTGGGGAGGTGACTTAAAACGACACAGAACGAGCAACATAAAGTTTATACGTTTACACCTGAGTGGCTTTCTGACGTACAGAGTGGGCTGTCACTATTAAACTCAGTCAAGTGTCCAGATGTAGCTGTAGCTCTAGAGTGGGAAGAAGGCATCAGCTGCTAGATTGGATTGCCCTTGGCCTTTGGGCTACAGAGCAGAGCCAGCAAATCCTGAAACACGCTGGGCTCTGGCTCCTTAAAGACCCCGTCTACTTTGTCTGATTCAAGGGACTGGGGGACAGAAAGTAGCGAGGGTCTTATGGGGGAAACCCTGGCAGGCTGGAGTTACTCAGTAAGGCCTGGCCAAAAGAGCAGCACTTCACTTTCCACACCACACCATCTGCTCCGACCAGGGAGGATACAATGAATTCTCAGACAGGAAGAAAGAAAGAAAAAGAGAACTTGTTCTTAAAGCGTAGGTGTGCTTAAATTCAGACTAATTTGTTTATGCTTTTTCAATTAGGAATAGACACACTTCCCTTTATCGGGCATTGAAATTTAACTTCCTCAGCCTTCAGCTCAATATCATCTCCCTTCAGCTACCAATTAAAAAGCCTCATACTTCCTGATTAGACATTTTCATTCCCAATTCACTCACAGCTTGCAAATGTAATTGTGATTGGACTTCAGGGTGGTGTGCGAGGCCATTATTTTGTCATGATGGTACGCTCACACCAGCTGGCCCACTGTTTGCCTGCCACATCTGACAAGATATCATCATTCTCACATCACTTCCCTAAAGCCCAAAGTCATGAGGGGGGGAAAAAGCTGCTACACTTCCTAATTCCAGGTGTAAGGACAAGAAAATTTGGAGTCGAACTCAGAACAAATGTGATAAGTGATAGCGGCCATCTGCTCCAAAATGCTGGTGAACTTGAACGGACCTCGCTAAATGTCTGGCAAGCTGTCATTTTTTTGTCTCACTAAAAATGTCAAACTTTTCAGTGAAATATTCATTAGGCGAATCAAAAACAAAACCGGACAAAATGTGGACATGTTATCCTTCTCCCTTTCATTTAGGGTGATACATCTGTTACTGCCCTGAATTTATAAATGCTACCATGAAAGCCACAGCATCTGGTATATGCGCTTATTGTTTGATTATTTTCTACTTTCTCTTAGTCAATGCATGTCTCTCTCCCTTTTTTCCTTTTCATCCCTCCATCGGGAGCACGTAGAAGCAAAGGATTATGGATCTCTGGAAAGCGTTCACCCTTGGGTCAGAAGACAAGACAAGGCGAGGTAATGAAAGATAAACAGCTCGCTGCAAACACCTGTTAACGTCCGCTTCAAAGAAAAGACGGAGAGGTGGGAGGGGGGAATTTGCAGGGAGTGAAAACAAAAAAAGAAGTATTTGGCTGCCAAGCAACAGCCGAAGGGCCCCCCGGGCTGTTGACAGATCTTTATGAAATGAAAAAAAAGAGAAAAGAAACGACAATGATTGTGGGCTTTTACAACAGCGATGGATGATAAGAGGAACACAAGAGAAAACACAAGCAATCATAAATATACATCTTTACCCCAAGTCCTCAGGCAAACCTTTTGTGACACACACACACACACACACACACACACACGCACGCATAGCATACACACACACAAAAAAGACTAAACATTCAGGTGCACAAAAAGGGAAAAACGAGATGTTCACTTAACTAATATATCCAACAAGGAAGAAGCTGTAGGATTAATTTCTTAAGCCTACGATGAATGTTAATGACTGGAAGACAAAGCTCTTTTTGGGCAGCCGGTGTGAGACAAATCAAACTTTTATAAGGGTTAGGGGGTGTTGAATGCTAAGGTACTAAGGAGATATAAGGGTAACAGAGAAGGGACTGAACATTACTGTTTAAACTATTAGCCCTGTGTCTACAGGGGATTCAATTTGAGCCTCCCATAGGGGGAAAGCCTCTTTATCCACAGGGCAGCATCAGGGCAAACTAGGGTTAAACTATATGCTATGCTATACAACATCCTCGCGTGCCAAGTTTCAGAATGTTGTCTCCCTCCTTTAATATTATTTTTTAATAAAAAGAAAATGGGGTGATCACATCTCTTTGCAATAAAATTACATACAAAAAGAAAGCTTTTAAAGCACTTAGGATTGAAGATGGAAGAAATTGCTGTTTTGGTGCTGCGAGAAGAGATACGGGTATAAAAATAAATACAACAATGGAGAAGAGAACAGTAGTGGGAGGGAAAAGTGATTCATCAACAATTTCTCAGTTTCTTAGGCTAGTTTCAAACAGAATCAAAAGGATTTGATTTTTAACTCTTGGTGTATCAGACATGGTTTCTTGTAGGTCCGTAAGGGCTGCCATCACCCGAGAGCAAATTTTCCTCTCTTACATAGGTAATATTAGTTCAAAATGAAAAATGCAGTGTGTAACAAGATATATTTATCTTTGGCTTTCACAATTCTAAAAATCTACAACCCATCTTGATTTTTTTAAAGGATACATTGCTGCCTGAGTAAGGTGAGATGTCAGCCATGTCCTGGAGATCACTGCACTCTGACTTGATTAGGGACAAGGACAGGCTTTCGGCTGTGCTGCCTGGGTGTGCTGGTGAACAAGAGCGATGGTGGTGCCCCAGGTGGTGACCTGATGCCATCTTTGTTCTCAAACTGGTAGTCTCTCTGGGCAGGTCCATGGAGTCTGGTGAAGTACGGTCCTTGCCTGAGTAAGCTGTGGGTGGGCCAATGGGAGTCTGGAAGGGGTAACCCATGAGTGGCAGTGGAAAGGGATGTCGAAAGGAGGGAGGGCTGAAGCCCATGGAGGCAGAGAGAGATGATGGATGGAGAACTGGATGGTGGCTACCACCATGTGCGCCCACAGCTGAAGACTGGTGGTGATGCTCGCTGGGTGTCTTACGTACTACTAAAGGCAGTGCCTCAGTTTGGTCATTGGTAGGACCTGGTATGCCAGGCATGCTAGCAAAGGAATCCAGTGGATTAGGAATGATGACATCACCAAAACATTGCAGCCTCTGGTTGGTGGTGTGGAAATTTGGGTTGTCTCCATTGACAGCAGCAGGAAATCTTTCAGGGGGTATAGAAAGAGGTGGAAAGGCCTGCTGAGGAGTAGGGCGAGGAGGTTTAGCAAACACCTTTACCACTGTGTCCACCACCTGGGTCATGGCTGAGTTGAGCTCTTGCTTCAGTGTTTCTGCCAGCTGTTTACCTTCAGCATGCATGGAGGAACCTGGACCTCCCTGTCCTTTGTTTCGGCTGAGGCCATCTCTTCTTGGCTTCTCAGTGTCGGCCAACAAGGCCTGCTCCTGAAGCAGAGCCCGCGCCCTGTCAAGGAAATGGCCTGGATCCAAATCAGCCATCTCATTGTCAGAGCGCAAGTCATCTCCACCCCGGTCATCTCCACCGGTGTCGGACCTGTCTGGGCTGTCCTCTGACATGTTTCCTATGTCATTGTGAAGGTCAGTGTGCTCTGAGTCATCGGTGGAGTCATAGATCTGAAAGAACTTCTCCTGGAGCTGCCGTAGTTGCTTTTGCATGTCCTCCAGCTGCAGCTTGAGCTGCCGCCGCTCCTCCTGCTTCTGTTCCTTTCTCTGACAAACCAGCTGGGTGAAGCTTTGCTGCTGCTGCTGAGGCAGTCGCTGTTTGCGCTTATTCTCTCGGCTGCTACTGCACACTTCACCTCCCCGTGGACTGCTTGGGGCTTGCTGTTGGGACTGAGGAGGTGGACAATCCAGTTCTAGATCCCGCTCTCCATCCATCTCATGGTCACGCTCGTGACGGGAAGCAGCAGGCACCACCACGCTTGGAGAGTGGCTCATACCACGTATAATGTTCTCTACACGGGCCCGCTTGGCACGCAGGTGTTCATCATTGAGACGTTCAATGTCAAAGGTGGCAAGGCCAGGAGGACGACCAAATGGTGACAAGCACTCCTGAGGGGTGCTGTCCTGGGAGGAGTTACTGCATGCATCTTCCTGCGGGGCATCAGAGCTAGCATTCGAGAGCCCTGATCCAGGGAAGCCTGATTCGACTCTATCTCCTCTTTCCCCTCTCTCAGGTCCGCCTCCATTTTTTGCAATGTTATTCTTGAGAAGCTGAGAGATAATGGTGGTGCCAGGGAAGGGCATCATGGCATCCTCATATGAGTTGGCCCTCTTCAGTAGCTTTCGGAGTACATTTGATTTGGACTCACTGTCGCCTGCTGATACGACGCCAGGCCCACCATGTGGCTGTACTACAGAGCACTCCATGGAGTCGTTGTCTGATCCGTGGTGAGAATGGGAGCTCAGAGAGTTCATGGCACTGAAAATGGCTGCTTTGGCGCGGGCGATGTTATCGGTAGTAGCTGCTGCTGTGGAGGAGGCTGTGCTACCCACTGTCCTCTTGACACCAATGTCCACACGTCGTCGCTTGGTCTGTCTGTTCAGGAGGGAGTCGCTGTCATGGTCCGGCATCACGGGCTGCTGCTATTGGGCCATATCCCACAAACCCAGTCCTCTAGGGTCAAAGCCTCTGAGTATCTATACAGGAGAAGAAAATAAATGGGCATGACACACTAAAGTGAAATCTCCCGAAGGCCTTATTTGTCATTAAGCACACACACATAATCTAAAACTGTAAACTAGTTGAAATGAACAACTGCATTCACAAATTTTAGCAATAAGATGCTCAAACTTCAAAAAACCTTGATTACATTAAGATAAGCATGATGGGGTCAGATTTAGGCCTTGGCTCGACATTCCAGGGCAAAGTCCTACATTTTATACTCTCCCCTGTTACACGTTGCGCGACACTGAACCAGTTCCCACGGAATACAAAGCTGCATAAAATTATGATAATTACTTAAGTACTTGTCCTCATTTCCATGATTGTGCAGTGTAGCCCACATACGAGGCAGAGGCTCACAAATTCAAATAATAAGAAAATAGGGTTGGGATATAATTTTTAATGGTATACAGATAGAGGAAAAATATATTTTACACAAGAAAGACACAATACTTGACTGATGAGTAAATGATCTTCATCAGCTTCAAGAAATTATTTTAAGCTGTTCCTATAAATTGTACAGTTTTTAAAAACAAGTCCTATGTTCACTCTGATCAATATGGCCATCATATCTTACTCAATAGGGAGAATGACACAAAAAAGAAGCACAAAATAGACCTATTGATTTTGGTGCCAGCGTGAGCTCACTTCTGTGTTTTTTGTTTGTCTTTTCATCTGGCAAGGCCAGTTAATTCTGCTCAAATGAATAGGTCACACGGGTCAACTCTGGCAAAGAGCAACTTAAAGCGCTCTTACAAAAACCCTAATGCCCCTCTGAAAGCAAAACGTTTTGTCAGTACAGGTCTGCGCGAATAATGCTATGTAAGCAGCGGTTGCAGAGTCTTAGTCAGTGACACATCAGATGTTTCTCGTTTTAATTTTTAAAAATTTCTAGGAGGATATTTAAAGTGCATGGAAGTATAAAAGCAAAATGGAAAAATTAAACATGTAATTTCCCCCCCCCCCCCGTATGTCTTTAACATCACTAAAACAGCAGACGTTTATATTTTTCTTTTTCTTTTTACTTTTGTGAAAAAAAAATTGTTCTCTACACCAAATTACATACGAGGTTTTTTTTCCACAATTTAGGCTGATTATAAGTATAGATTTGTGAAGTTAAAGAAACTGAGCTACGTTTACATGAGTTATTATTTTTTATATGATGTAGTTAATTTTTTTTAATAGTTTTTGGAGGACATTTCCTAAAGCACCAGTGACATTTGCGCAAGCACTATAAAAAACCCCACCTTTTGACACTTTTACAAGACAAATTTAAATGTAATGGAACTAAGCCACTAATTTACACTTCACACACCCTCTCGGAGCTGTTGGCGTCGTTGTACTCTGACAACAACGTGACATACTTATTTTCTTAAAAAATATCAATAAAAATAACATTTCAAACCCTCCATAAAAAGAATGGAAAACCAGATTTTCTGAAAGTGTCTCCATTAGCAAGTATTTTAAATGAAACTATTTGACAATTGGGCAAGACTTATGTCTTGAAAGCCATTTACAGCAGGTTGGAGAAGAAGCAATACAGGCAGGATTAAACTTGACTGGATTGCTTTGGGATCTTAACAAAGAGCTTGAAATAGTCACCAGCACCTGTCTTTTTTTCTTATGTGGAAGCACCTGTCCCACATTGCCCTCTCCCTTTCCATCTCCCTAATACAGAGATGGCAAATACAAAGGATTTTTAGGGAGGTATTGAAAAAAACTTTTCCCTCACTAAAAATGTTACCTTTCTGGCAAAAGAAAAAAATTTGTAAACGAACCACCATACCTGTAAAAAAATAACGTTTGCCTGAGTCAAACTGAAGTGACAACAAAACAGGCTCTGTGTAAAGAAAACTGAGATATGGGGATGTCTTTGCTCGTTCAAACGCAGGAGTTGCGCACACTGTTTCCAAACCGGTTGGTCATCTTCACCATGAACCTCAAAGAAAATAGAAAATAAACGCAAAGCCAAAAACAAGGCGCTTAAAGCTCCCTAATCGTCTGCGCAAAGTTCTGTCAACAAATAATAATTAAAAAAAAGGGGGGAGGACAGAAAAGCACATACCCCACGGGACAAAGAGATCTATCTCCAAACAGACAGGTCAAGTAGTCTAAATCAAAATTTTCGCCTTGAATAAACACTTTTGAATCACGGAGTGATAGATAAATAAATAAGTCGCACTTCTGAAACTTACTTCGCAGAGTTGCAAATCAACTCGATCTGTGCTTTGATGAGGAAGGCTGGGCTAACGTTCGCAAATCATCCTCACCAGAAAACACTGGCTGCTCACGCAACTCTCAGCACACACCGAGCAGGAGAGAACCAAGTGCAGCCCGTGTTATCGCACCTATTCAGTTCGCCGCTGACGGGCAGAATAAGTGATGCTAGTTTCAGAGTTATCTGAACGAGAAAAGTGAGGGAGCTCATCCGAGGACAAGGTTACTTACCCGGTCCAAGATGAAGATTAAGGTGTGTGAGGGGTGGGGGGGAGACAACCTGAACTCCTGCGGCGGCGAAAGAGAGCAAAAGCGCCGCGGACTGCTGTGGGCAGGAGCCGGAACAAAAATATGAGGAAAGAAAGAGCCGGAATAAAGTGAGCGGCGCGAACTAAAAGAGGCGAAAATATAAAAAGAAAACGGGGGGAAAAAAAACCGACTCTTACGCGTCCGTCTCTCCTTCTATCCTCAACTGTGGTCGAAAGAGTGAGAGACCTTGAAAGAAGACAGGAGAGGCAGGGAGAGGGAGAGAGAGAGAGAGAAGCTGCGCGTGTGTGCGTCTCTGAGGCGCGCTGGATGCAGAGCGGAGGACTGGATGCTGCCGGAGCGCTCCTCCGCCACTAAGATTCACTTTAAGACGCGGCTGAAGGAAACAGGAAGACGTGCGCGTCACGAGCGCCGTGATGTAACTGTCGCAGCCTACCAATAAGAAGCGTCCGCGAGGGCCGGGGGAACAACACGCTGAACTTGACCAGAGGAACGGGACTCGATCGTGCAGCCAAAGTGAGGGAGTGGGAGGAATAAAGGAAAGGAAATACAACTTATTGCTTATCCGTTTCTTCAGAAATGCGAGTAAGCATCGGTACGCTCGAAAGTTTCATATTTTGTCCGCAGCAGTTAAGAGTCTTTTGGCTTCTAAACATCTTTCTAATTGCAATGGTTCTAAAAAAGTGAAAATTGCCTAAACTGATTAATATCAACAAATTTGTTTGAATAATAATAATAATAAACGAACCACAAACGTTAGTATTGAAATAACATGCAATATTAAAATATTTTTCCAAAATTTCGAATGCATAAATTTATATTCTGTTTTTTTATTGAAATGTTTATCTTTCAGTTGAGTTCAGTTTTTCGCAACAAAATCCGAAATTAAAGTATTCTTCCCATTCTTGAATTGCTGTTGATGCTTATTTCTAATACATTTTCAATATTCCACAAATGTAAGGAAGTTTTTCCACAGCAAATCTGGCTGACGCGCGTTAGTGTGGCATGCTGAGACCTTTTATGATCAGAGTTTTCCTATTGGTTGCAACAATAAAAAAAAAAAAAAAAAAAACAGAGGACAGTCCGATTAATGAAGTAGCAAGGCAGCACAGGGGATTCGCGTAGTTTTTGCTTTGGAATTCAAATTATCCTACAGAAATCTGTATAAGAAGAGAGCAAAGAGTCTCTCTGGAAAAACAAGAAAGAAAGAAAAGAAAAGAAACAGCTTGGTATAGTGATAAATATATTCCTCAAGCGTTTAACTGTCAGTGTGATCCACACCCGCTTACCGAAATACCCCAGTGAGTAAAGACCATCAAAAGTGCTTCATCAGTAAACTTGAAAATGTTGCTTGACTGGGATGCAAATTATTATTATTTTTATTTTATTTTTTTTTCTGCTTGATGAATTGCTGGATGTTCTTCATCATCTCCGCACCTGTAACTCCCGAAGCCTGCGGAGGATGACATTCGATCTTTTCCATGCTGGACTAAAAAAAAAAAAAAAAAAAAAAAAAAAAAAAAAAAAATGACGCTTCAGATTTATGACTAGATGACGGCTGTTGCTTTTTGGTCTTCCTTCATTCTTTTAAACTCGATGCCCAAAATTTGCAGCGCGGCTTGTGCGCTCCGGAAAACAAACCTTTGAGTCCTTGGTGCCGACAACAGGTGATTTCGCCAAACTGTGGCGCGGTGTTTTCCGACTTTAATGTGCAAGAAATATATATATTTTTAATAAAATGTTTATTTTGCATAGGGCTCTTTTTTTCGGTGTGGCCGGAACCATTTATTTTGAGACACCTTTATGTCTACATTTAAAAAAAAATATATATATATATTAAGCAAACTCATATAAGCATTATTACTCATATTTTATTGTTAAAATTGTCGTGAAAATTATTCAGAAATAGGAACAAAAATGTTTCCCTTTTCTTGCACTGTTTCTATTAAGTTATTAATCCCTTTGCTTTTTATTTCCAGCTTTTCTTTCGACTCTTTAAAATCATTTGCACAAACAGGATCCTAAAGTACTTAACGAAAAATCTTATTTTCCATATACCCCTCTGTCAGGTGCCAAAAAGGAAAAGGCGAGTCTCTTTTCCATGTCGCAAGCAAGTGGGATTTTTTTTTCTTTCTTTCTTTTTTAGGACGAACAAAATGCAACGAAGTCAGCAAAAGTTTAGTGTCTGGAGTGGCTTTTCCAAAGCAGGTGTCCCGCTCCCCTAAACTGCTCCGTGGCTCGATTTGGCCCTCCGGCTCCCCAGGGTGCCGTCGATACGCACACAGGCTGGAAAAACAGGGCCGGGACATTAAAGAAAAGCTTGTTTGCAAAAGGAAAGACTCGGGCGAGGTGAAGAGGAAACGTGATGGTTTTAACACTGGCTGGCAGCTCTTATCGCGGCCCGTTCCAGGTGGATCAACCCGCCGCATTTATTCCAAACTCACCCCCCTCTTCACCTCCACGTTTTTTTTTTTTTTTTGAGGGGGGGACGAGCGCAACACACCTCGATGGCCGAGACTGATAATGTGCAGCGGCGTTCCGCGCTGATGGGTAAATTTACAGGGACATTTATTGGAGCATCGTCCAAGCAAATGAGGAAGGCCGTGAACACAGTATTTTCCCCAGAGGTGCTGTAAACTTACTGTAAATCAAATTTAGAGTATTTACGAACAGGCCTGCGGCGTAAAGAGTATGTATTTACGCCATATAATTTGTATCCATGACGTGTCAGATGATGATGATGATGATTATTATTATTATTATTTTATTATTTTTATTATGGGGAGCAGCAGTATGGCTGTCTGCCCAGGGCAGCTCTACCAAGAGAAGGCAATGATAAAAAAAAGGGGAAAAAAAGAACCATAAAATAAAATGAAACCTATTTGGTGTGGATAGTGTAAAAACAATTAAAACATTGTTGTCTGATGAGCAGCATCATATTATTAAGTCCTATATTGAAGTTTTTTTTCTCTGAATAGTTATTAGACAACGTCACAAACAGAAATGTTTTCAAAAATAATCTGAGATTTCAAACTGGTTTTGTTCTTGAGACGATACAAAAAGGAACTTTTATATTGGTTTGGCACTAAAACCCTTTTAGTTTGACACATTTAAAACCTTTTCAATATAACAAACCTTTATGTGTTGACAAATGTGTTTCTTAATTTTATCAAATTATCTATCTATCTATCTATCTATCTATCTATCTATCTATCTATCTATCTATCTATCTATCTATCTATCTATCTATCTATCTATCTATCTATCTATCTATCTATCTATCTATCTATGTATCTATCTATCTATCTATCTATCTATCTATCTATCTATCTATCTATCTATCTATCTATCTATCTATCTATCTATCTATCTATCTATCTATCTATCTATCTATCTATCTATCTATCTATCTATCTATCTATCTATCTATCTATCTATCTATCTATCTATCTATCTATCTATCTATCTATCTATCTATCTATCTATCTATCTATCTATCTATCTGGGTTTGGCTAGAATATGAGTCAGATATAACAATAATAATTACTTTTATGATTATTATTTTTTATGGTTTTGTTTTCTGCTGGCACTCTCCCAGCCGTTCGAAGGCAGGAAATTAGCAAAGTGTATGCAAACTTAGTGAAACATTATTTGGAAGAGGAAGCAATCTCTTATAAAAATGACCTTAATCAGATAATGACTTGATGAGCTGCATACAACAGTTCCATTCCTTTTCAGAGAGACAGTTTTCAGAGAAATGATGGCGAGATAAAACACACAGGGAGAAACACACACAAATATACACGTCGACACGCAGCCACACACACGCACACATGTACAGTGATGGTAGCACTAAAAGCTGTTTTGTTCCGGTGAGGTCTCCGGGTCCCTGAATAAAAAGGTTTAGGAGACAGGACCGAGAGGAGGAGGAGAGGATTTGAGTGTAATAAGTGAGTAGGAGTCTGAAGTCCTTGTTGGACCTCGTGTCCGAGACTTAATGTATTCAGCTTTCGTTATCCATGACAACGATGAGGATGCTGGAGGAAGAGAGATGGCCATTTGTTTTTTGTTTTTTTTCTTCTTTGGGTTGTTTGGAGGTTTTTCATTTTTTTGGGTTAAAAAAGGAGCCTGCATGACCAGAACATAAAATAAGAACCAACTATGTTGTCTTGTTGTTGCAGTGAAATAACACACATTTACATATATGTCATTATTACCTTCAAAGCAGAGATGATTAGCAGATTGTGAACCAAAACTCACATCTCTCTTTCGAGGCTACAAGTAGTGGTGATTTTGGCTTATGTTTGTGTCTGTTTGCGTTTATGTGTGTGTGTGTGTGTGTGTGTGTGTGTGTGTGTGTGTGTGTGTGTGTGTGTGTGTGTGTGTGTGTGTGTGTGTGTGTGTGTGTGTGTGGCAGAAAGAAAGAAGAGAAGGGGGGCTCATCCTCTGTGGCCTCTTTAATGGCTGTCCACTGAATGAACACACTACAAATTCAAATATGCTTTATTTGCATGAATGCCTATTGGCTATCGCTGCAGAATATAATACATGACCTAAACACAACCTCACAATGAAATATGAGAGCACGTCCACCCCCCCAAAAAAACAGACAAACAAATAAATAAACAAAATCCCCAACACAATTTTTTAATGACACTTGTATCGTCTTGACAAGAGACAACACTTTGCAACACCTTTCAAGATTAGGAACCCTATCATTTCGACATTTTTAGACAGAAACCTCGAAGTTGAAAAATCATGTATTATATTCTGTGAGGACGTAACAGACAATCAAAGCCGCATTGTGCAGTGTGGATGATGAAAATGCAGCAGTTCCATTAACACCAAATATCAATGGTTGCTACCAAACATCCTACACTAATTTAGAATTTAACTAAGATTTCAAAAGGGAATAGGCAGGAATTATGCATAATCCTTTTTGGGGTGGGGGGACTGTGAGGTTGATCATGGGGTTGCAGGTGCTTTGTTGAGTTGGGGTCGTGTTTAAGGGGGAGGGGTTTAGGAGTAGAAGTGAGTAATCAACTTTAAGAACAACTGGAAAACTATTGTGGACAAAAACATGATCTGAGTAAATGAGTAATCGTCTAACTAATTAAATAAAAACAAATACATAGATTATTCAATTAAATGTTACAGATTTACAGCTTCTTTGAGTGTGTCCTCCATTTTTCTAGATTCATAATAAAAATATTTTATGGATAAGAGATTGCCTGACCAGAAGGGCAATTTTTATGGTGTCTCCCAAAGTCATTAAATTGCACTTGCATGAGTGAATTTGACTTTTCTGTGTTTCAGATTGGTACGTCTGATTATTTTCCTCTCATTAAAATAACTGTATACACCTCTATTTGTGATCA